GGTTTTGTGACAAATAAATAAATATGCTCACCTCTGATTAACCATGGAACTACAAAAACAGATAAAAACAACAATTTTGTTTCCTTTGATGTATGATAATTGCTGCAGAATGTTTATTTTAACTGTTTTTATTGTTGCATTAAAAATAAGCTGATTAACAAGAATCGATGTTTATCTTTGACTTCGGAGTCAATTAGGTGACGTCAGTCACCAAATACTGTAAAATGACTAGTTTTTACTTGGTTTTTGCTGATTCATCATTTCAGGCATATTCAGTGGGTTTTTAATTCATGGTTTTATCATTTAGATTTAATTTAGAGCATTTTCTAGTCAGCGAAATAAGCTAAATTAAACCCAGTGAATAATTAATCCTTTTGCATTAGCTCACTCCAGTCCTTTTAAAAGTTTGAATATAGAGACCCATAATGTTAGTACTTATTCAAAAAGAATGCCAAATGAACGCTGTATTGAAAGGATTTATAAGCTTGGGTTTCACTAAATTCAGTTGTTTTGTTTATTAAACACTATTTATTCCAATATTTTATTTATTTGCAGATATTACTGTGATTACTGTGATACTTACTTAACACATGACTCGGTAAGTTGTATTGATTTCACTACGTAGAATGTAAAATACTAATCACATCAACAGAACAATTCTGGAATTAAGGTGTATAGATGCAGGTTAGTGGGCACTTGGGAGTGAAATATTCTCTCTTTTGAATGCTTAGCAAGATTTAGCAAGGCTGTACATAAATAATAAAAAAAACATGGTGAAAAAAGTAATGACGGGATCTCCATGTTATGCACTATATTTAACTTTTAAACGATAATAGGTTTAAATTTGGGACTGTTACAGCCATTTTAATTACCGTAAAAGCTCTAGAATTTCAACCACCGGTATTTTTGGGTGGTTTTTTGGGTGGTTTCCGTTATTTTGCGACCTCCAAAATTTTTACCCCGTCTGGGAATGGCGTTTTTTTACGACTCTGAAAATTCGACCAAACTTTCATATCCTGGAAATCTTGGTAATTCGCACCAACCCTGTCAGATAACGGGTTTCTGTACTCCTGTACTCGTCCAGTGTGAGCGAGGTCAGGTTAGCTTCCGCGCAATTTGCATGAACTAAAATAACATTTAAAGTCACATGTATTTATTGTTATCTCTATGAAATTTATTATTTAATAAAAAAAACATCAGAGTTTGTATTTGCTCTTAAAAAGGTCGATCCAGAATAAAACCGGGTGCAATGTTTTTGCCGGTCATTGAGAAAAAACAATTTGCATATAAAGCATATATTGCTTAGACGCTTGACTTGTGTCACCATGGGGCCCCAGTGAGGTGTTTACAATAAATGTGTCTGTGTGACGAGTAGGCCTACAACAAAACAAAATAAGTCAAAATTTACAGATGTTAGCGACCAAAGACTACAGTATGATTACTGTTGTTATAGCTGTTGTTTTCCCGAGTACGTTTTACATCGGCCAAGCTCCCATGCATTTTAAACACTCGGTATGGAATAAAACAAAGATTGAGTAAATAAATAAATAAATAGGAAACTAAGCTCCCAACTTTAACACTTATTTGACTACCCGGTTTGCTTATTTTGAAGCAGTTTATTTTCCCTCATGTAGACACCACCAAAATGACAATGTCACTGGAGTGATTTTCCAAAAGACAGCGTCCGGTAATACCAGTCTCACACATTTGGGACGGAGTGGTACACGTTCGCTAATCCGCATATCCAATGCACTAGATGGCAGTGAGAATAGCCTCATACACAACGAACAGGCTGTTTGTGGAAGGACTGTGGTTCGAGGGGTTCATCGACATCCAGTAATGACTTCTGCAATACATCCTCCAAAAAGATATATCGTTGCAATCAAAGTTTAATGTTTTGAATAAAATAAAGTTGCATTTTTTCAATGATTTACATCATGATGAAATCATACCAACAATAAAAGTTTTATTTATTTATTAACTCAATAACTGCAGATACTGTAATGACAGTGGCAATAACTGTAAGACTACTGTAAAAAAAGGACATTTACAAATTTCATTGACCGCCCAAAATGTAATTCTTTTCTAAGGTCTAGAACTTGTTAGTAGTAAATTTTATTTATACGCCGTTACATGCTTGTTTTTTTCACTCTTGTGTAAATTAGGTCATGTAGATCGTGATCCCTAGCTGAGCACGTACCGCACGTTATTGCAAACAAATTTGTCCGTACCATTGTTGTTTATTCCACTTTTTAAGAAACCCCAAAAGCTTCCCATGTTATTCCAAAACGACCAATATTTCCTCCAAAATTTCGTCCATTTTAGAGTTTTTGGGTGGTTTCGTGAGTCTAAAAATTTGAGTTTCAGAAAAACAAATATTTTACGGTATGAGCATTAGCAAACTTCTTACTGAGTGAATGGTTATGCAAATTAGCCATTATCTCCACTTGCGTTTACCAGGGAAGTTCAAATCTAAATAGCTCTCACAATTCTTGTTTATTTCAAGTGAAATTTTCGCACAACGTTTATTAGTTGTTTATTAATAAATGGGCTTCAGGTGTTTATATAGTATGTTTTATTTTCATATTACAAAGTTGTCAAGCAGGGAGGTATGTATGGGGGTCTAAAAACTAACTCTGCGACACGATTGTGCGTCTCGCTGAATGTTGATTATTGCACTTTGCGAAAGGATCGCAGTGTCACTCTGTGAAGAGCATGATTCTTATTGGCTGGTTGGTCGAAAAGCGCGAATCCCAAAGGTCGATCGATGTATTGGTACATCAGTTTTAAATGGTTATTTCGCCGACTGCTTGCGAACTACGGTAAACAAGATTTACTGACGCCATGCCGCACTGTTCGGTAATCTGGAAGCATTTAACATGTATTTACTAACATATATAACATCCCCCGGAGGGGATGAAAGGGGTTACAAACACATGCACGTTGGTGTTGGCTGCCTTATTAGCATTGGCGGCAGATTTAAAGTGAGTAGAGCACGAAGTACGTTTCACACGATGTTGCATTTTGTTTTTTTTGTCATTAGCAAGTAAGTTGTTATGACTATATTCATCACTTTGAACTTCCAAATAAAACGTGTAGCGGGTCAAACTGTTTCTAGGCAATCAATATCGTTTTATTAAGAATAATCAGAGAAAAGAACGTAAAGCTGTGTGAATGGATTGAAACTACTGCTGAAGATGGAAAATTGAATGGCAGTGTCAACGAAAAATTATATAAAATTATAATCGAAAACAATAGCTTTGTTTATTTGGCCGATGTCGACGAGCAACAGATTTCCTGTACTCACTTCCATGTCCGATCATCAGCCCTCAACTGTCCCACGTATCGGTGTCGTCATCGGTTAAGTAGTTGAAACTCTTTCGCGCTGATGCGAATATTTCAGCCTAATCGATCCATTCGAACCACTGGCGAGGTTAGTCATAATATGACCTAGAAAATTTCCCTTTCCGCTACATTAAGATTAATATGAACCACCGAAATTTGGCTTTCATTTAAAAAAAAAATAAACCATAATTTTCAGTAATACTGACTGCGAAGTTAGACGACCAGGTTGAAATGAGCCGTAATATTTTGCTACACAATGGCTATTCGCAGTTTTTACTACTCAATCGCTCAAACGCTGGTGATAAAATCGAAATGGAAGGGAAATTATTGTAAATCGAGACAGGTTTCATTCAGCTATAGACGAGACGGGTCAATAACAATTAAACGAACCCTGACCTCTGCAAATACCTCATTCATAGAGTTCCTTAGTACCAGAGGTCGTGAGCACGGCCGTACAACGTACTTTGTGACATCGCTACCGGTGCATGCTAGCTGACAAGGTGGTTTGCGATTAAGGTAACCAAGATGGCATTGCACAGTGCTTGATTTTTCCGCGGTGTTTAAAAACAGCATCTCGTTGTTGATTTTTCTGAAATTTCCAGGGTATTTTTTTACTCCCGTGTGCGAAGCACAAAAGGGAGTCTTTGCAGCTACCCTGTCTGTGTGTCTGTCTGTCTGTCTGTCTGTCTGTCTGTCTGTATGTATGTATGTATGTATGTAAATTTTTTAGCTCCGCTGTCGACTTTGTCGAGCGGAGCTTATCATATGAGTGATTGTCCGTCGTCGTCGTCCGTCGTCGTCGTCCGTGTCAATGTTTTACTTTTTCGACTTCTTCTTGAAAACTACAAGCCTGAATGCTTTGATACTTGGTGTATATGTACCTTGGGTAGACCTCTCTCAGATTTGTTCATTTGTAATGATATCTTTAATTCTCTAATTTTGGTGAATATTTTGTAATTTTGGTAAAAAGTGATATTTTCGACTTCTTGTTGAAAACCGCAAGTCCAATTGCTTTGATATTACATATATAGGTACTACATGTGGACCTCTCTCAGATTTGTTCATTTTGTAATGATATCTTTAATTCTCTAATTTCGGTGAATATTTTTGTAATTTTTGGTAAAAAGTGATATTTTCGACTTCTTGTTGAAAACCGCAAGTCCAATTGCTTTGATATTACATATATAGGTACTACATGTGGACCTCTCTCAGATTTGTTCATTTCATGATGATATCTTTAATTCTCTAATTTTGATGAATATTTTTGTAATTTTTGGTAAAAAGTGATATTTTCGACTTCTTGTTGAAAACCGCAAGTCCAATTGCTTTGATATATTATACATATAGGTACTACATGTGGACCTCTCTCAAATTTGTTCATTTTCTAATGATATCTTCTGTTCTTTAATTGCCATGTGCATTGCTAACAGCGGAGCTATCTCAGCCGACAGGCTGCTTGTTTTGTTCCACCGTTATCTCAAGAACCACTAATAAAATTTTTATGAAACTTGGTACATAGATGAATATTAATCACCTAATTTGCATGATAATTAACTGATTTTAAGCTGTTCCATGACTGCTCCACTCATTGGATTTTAATCTGAACTAATGCACAGATTTGATTAGTTTTGGCATAGACCTTAGAAAACAGGTCTATGGTTTTGGGTAAAAATCTAATAATTTGCATAATGATTAATCAATTTTCAGTTTTTCCACTGATATCTCAAGTACTACCGGTAATCATAACATTTCAATAAAACAGTTTTTAGGTTAATATCAGTACATAATTTTCTGCTTTTGATATTTCAAGTAGTAATGATCACATTTCAATGAAACCCAGTACATAGTTACTTGAGGAATGTGCAGAGACGTAATTAATTTTGGGGTAAATATTTGTGCATATTAATCACCTTATTAGCATAATTAGTTATTTTTTAGCTCTTCACCACACCTGATATCTGAAGTACTAATCATCACATTTCAATGAAACTTGCAGTGTTCTCCACAATCCAAAATAGCTGGTGGGTTGCCTAATTAGCATAGATTTTGCATATTAATTTGCATTACATACAATATTCTAGCATTTATGTCATGAACTGCAATACACACCAAGTTATTTACCATTCTTTTTTTTTGTAATTTAATTGAAACATATTACAATCTTTTTAAATACAAACAGATTGGTCAATATCAATATTTACGAAATACATGGTTTGAAATCGGTGATTTATACATTCTTAAATTATTCTGCGT